TCATTTTTAGTACGTGAGCCAATTTCCCCTGAAATATGAGGATTTTTACTCTGACTTTTGGGCACAGTTATTAACAATATATGATCTCCACACACTATTCCTTCAAATTATTTTGGTTGGTTATTTTCTCAACCTTAGGTAATTTCATCACATACATGACTGACTAATATTCATCCAAATACTCGAGGGAGAGGAACTACAGACTGTGCTCTCTCTGTGTAGCTTCTCCTTTCCAGTACTTTGCCCTGTGAACTCTGCCCACCTTGGCTTTTCCAGATTTTTAGTTGACTTTTTTCAACTCAGCAAACCCACTGAGGTGTACCTGAACTCCACCTAACCCCACCTTCATGTGCCGTGGTTTGAAAACATATAGGCAGCAAGTTCACAAAATTGCAGGGCTTTCCTCACTTATTGTTCCATAAATGACTCAATTATTCAATTGATATATATCAAATGAACAGATTCAGTCTAAATTATTATTGAAAAAGTTACGTTACTTTTGTGAAATTTCCACAATTGACATCATCTGATTTAAATTTCACTAGGCTACATTTCTTCAGCCTTTTGAGCATGGTTAACATCGCAAATAATAGAATTTGTACCTGTTTACATGTGTTTTTGAAGATAGTTTTATTATGCTGTTTATCTTTTCCCAATTATATGGTAATCTCTAGAATATTTTAAAAGAATTATAGTTTTATTATCAGGTAAACACAATTACTTGGATTTATAACACAAATAAAATTGCTTTAGTACTTAGATTGTAATTATTTTAGTTGAATGGAAATTGACTTTTCTAAAATGTTTTTGCATATTAAAAAATTAAAACTATTGTATTTTTGCTTTTTTACTATCAATTTGCTAATTAAATTACTTTAACTGATATAATGCAAAAATAATATTAATGCAACTCCTGTCAAATTATAATTGGTGGATGTAGAAATACTATTTTTCTGTTGTTAACATCAGAATCTATTAGGTAGAAGAAACCTTCTAATTATTCAAGTTTGAAATGTACTTACAGGGAATAAAACAATGATTTAGTTGAAGGAGAAGAACAACCTCATGAGAATTGCTGTATAAAAATGTTGAGAAGAAATAGGAAATAAGGAATCTTATATATTAGTGAGAAATACTTAAAATATGTAGTTTTCTATTAAATGGTCCACAATACAGTTTACTTCCAGATCCCAGCTAGGAAAAGAACTCATAATCGGGAAGCAGATGGAGCAGCAGAAGCTGCTAGAGGCAGAGAATGCTCTTCACAGAGAGTCCAGCACTGTCTGAGGCCAGGTCACCACACAGCACAGCAGGAGTCACTCCAGATACTTGGGATGTCACCAGGCACCTGCAAGTCATCTCAGGTCAAGCACTGTCTACACCACCATCTAAGAAAGATTTGGAATCAGGCGAACTGCTGACTCCCTGTTTTAGAGTGTGCTTCACAGTTAATTCACCAAATCAATATCCTCACACAGAATTCCAATACAACTAAACAAAATCTTTCAAAATTCTCTGTAAATGCATTTGACAAGTGATACACAGATGAAACAATTTAAAAGTATAAAATCCAAGAGTTGCTTTGTAGAAATTTTCCAGTGACTTTTTTGATTAGCATTTCCTAACACCTTAACTGTGATAGATTTAAGATCTCATACAAATTTTTAGTAACTAACTCTTTTAAACATATTCACCAAGTAATCCTACTGGAATATTTTCCCTATCATATACCCGTTCTTCTTGATTTTATGACCTTATTATTCAACACTAACTCTAACTTCCGAAAGAGGGGTCATCTACTTAGAGGATAAAGTGCTTTGACAGGTGGTGAAGGGGATTTAGAACTCCAGACCCCTAAACCATATGAATTAAAATTGGTCTGTATTCATACAGACAGAGCTTTACTTCTGTGATGTTCCTTTTGTGTTGGTGGGCTCAAGGCCAGGAAGTCACATTTTTCTCTGCTTCTAGCAGTGATACAAAATACTTGCCTCTACAAACTAAGCATCATTCTTAAAAATGCACATAAACATCTTAGGCATTTCATTCACATTTGAAAATAGTGAGATTGTGAGTTCTTGTATAGACTGACTAAACAAAAGAAATCTCACATGATATTAAACCTTGGGGAGAAACACACATCAAACTTGACCTTTATGTCAAAAAGCAATTATCTTCCTCAAGTAATAAGACATTTTGATTTTAAATATTTACTCACAGGCACAAGTTCTTGAAAGTCTATCTGGTTTTATTTTTACTCTTCTTTTTAGCATGGCATGACTATACTTCAACTCTTCAAATTGCTGTAGATGTACTTAAGATATACATATAAGTACATTTAAATGTAAATAATTAAGCTAGTTTGAGCCTTTCTAAGTAGACTAGCATATGAAAATATAAATGAGCCAGTCTTTTAAAAATCAGTTTGACCGACCTTCATAGTCAGTGATGGTAAGCCGAGGATTCCCCAGAACAATACTCAGGACATTCACCATAAGGTGGAAGATGGAATACCTTATTGAGTAACAGGCTTACAACAGTGTGAGGACTTCCCATGGCCCGAGGCTAATAGTGTCTAGCCTGAGATTTGTGTACTCACCCCCATCTCATGGCATACTTCTCTCTATTCTCCAACTGTACTGACTCTTTCTAAATTCCTGGAATGTGCCATGCTCTTTCTTGTATATAAATCTATCAGTAATATTCTGTAACACTCCCTCCCCTTTTGTTCACCTGACTAATGCCAACATTACTTTAGATCTCAGACAGTACTTTTTAACATAACCCATCCCTAATTATCCCCCTGCTCTCCCTAGCCCTCCACCTCACATGGCACACACATATATACATACCAGAATAAGCTAAACTCTCAAGTTTTTCTCCCTATAATACTGGTCACTTCTCTTCCTTTAACTTCATAGAGTTTTTAATTCTTACTTAGTGTGCTTTCTCCACAAGGCTATAATGCAGGGGATAGTGTGTCTTATACTCAGTTGCATTCACAGCAGAACATCTGGCAACAGTGGCTGCTAGGTAAATGCAGAAGCAAGGAAGAAAAAAGGGGAAGAAAGAAAGAAAAGAAAGAGAGAGAGGGGGAGGGAGGGAAGGAAGGAAGGAATGAAGAGAGGAAAGAAGGAAGGAAGGAAGGAAGGAAGGAAGGAAGGAAGGAAGGAAGGAAGGAAGGAAGGAAGGAAGGAAAGACCCATGCAATATTACAGAGTCTCTATCCTAGTGGATTTTGAAGCACATAGATATTCTCTGGCCTGCCTGGTTAGACTATATTATACTCAGTCTCTTTAGTTCTGGATCGTGTTAAGTCAGCTGTACCTTCTACTATAACCCTTGAACTGTTGAAAATGAAGCTCATGTGTGGTTCACTGGAAAGATTCTAGAGAGGAACTGCACTGATTATCTCAGCTAAGTGGTGAACACTTTTATCCCAGTTGATCTCAGATAACAAAGGTTGAGCTATGGGAAGTTATTAATTTGGTTCAGTCCTTGCTCCATGAGAAGCAAGCAATAAAACACTTTGTCAGAAACTGCATAGTTATATTTCATAACTTCAGAGCACCACTCTGTGTGGAGAGGAATAAATCTACACCTTGACCAAGATGACTTTAATATTCCCCTTTGCTTTACTAAACTTTAAGACAGGTTTCTTCCTGACTATAAATCCCTTATTTCCCTTTGATTGGAGCATTTACTTTGGAAAACTTGAAATTATAAATTCTTTCTCTTCCCCCTTGAGATTTAATTTTTCTCCTAGCCTCTTGCAAGTTTCATAGCCCAGAAATGTCTTTTTCAAGGACCTAGGAGCCATCTCTTTTAGATTCTGTCATCAAGGATGATGGCAAACCCCTATCTCCCAGTTTCTATGGGAGAGTAAAGGCTTAATTTAGATAAATGACAGGTAGCAAATACAGATGCATAATTATGTAGACCAATACTCCCCCAATAATCCTTGAGAATTTTTCTACTAGTTCTCCCCAGCACTTAAAAACCCTCTCATCTTTTGTTTCAGCAGAGTTGGATTCAATGTCTCTCATCTATTGTAAAAGCCTTGAATAAAGTCTTCTTTTCCCATTTAACTCTTTCTGGGGCAATTTGTCTTTAACATCCTCTTAGACTTGGCTCACCTGTACTCCTGAATTTATTGCAGCTGCATCACTTATAATAGGTGTCAATGTTTTAAAAAATGGCTAAATTTAAAAAATTCTACCCCCCCCCAAATAAAATGTCAGTGAACTCTGGTTTAGTCAGAAGAGGATTCTTTTATTTTTATTCTTTTTATATTTTTATATTATTATTTTCCAGTATTCTTTCCATATTTGGGAGTGAGATTGCTTTTCTTTAATGCTGTTACTTTTAATAGCATTGAAAAATAAGTATCTGTGTACCTCTATGAAATGCAAGCTTGATTAATGCCCCAGGAGCAAAATCTGTGGTTGGCATGTTTGAGAATCATATCAATTTTTTTATCTATATAATGCTACTCATGTCATGGTCTTGATTGAAATATTGAAACTTTGCTGAGCTTTTATTGCAAAAGTCCTGAGGTGCCTAGGCATTATTTTCTTCCTGTTTGAACAGTGACCAATAGGCTTTGTGGTTTAATAGTAAAGAACACTGGACTTAGGAGTCTGATTGCCTGGATCCCCCAGGACTTTAATTGGTTACTGGACATCTTCCTGCTTAGCAAAAGTGAATAGTACAGAATCTGATAACTAGTGAAGACTCAATGAACTTTAGTCGTTCCAACTGGTACTGTCATAATCTTCATCATTATTTCACAACTGTGAAAAACAAACAAAGAAACAAATGGTATAATAAGCTTTCATAATGTTTTACTCTCTACCAAAAAAAAATCATCAATGGGTAGTACTGTTGACTTAAGATACACTTTAGCCTTTGCTGGTTTTCTTTATTCTTAAATAACTCTGAGCTCTATTTGTGAGATATTTGTCTTTCTCTCTCCCTACCCCTATCCCTGCATTTTTTAGTGATGGATGGGCAGACAGAGATGAAGTCATTGAAGGTTATGAGGTGGAAGCCAACGGGGGAATCACGATAAAGCTGCAGTCTCCAGAGGTCAGGTCATTTGATGATTATTACCTGAAACTGAGGCTGGACACTAATACAAGGAATCCCTGGTTCCCTGAGTTCTGGCAACATCGGTTCCAGTGCCGCCTACCGGGACACCTTCTGGAAAATCCCAACTTTAAAAGAATCTGCACAGGTAATGCGTGTTTATAAAATAACAACTCAGAGGTTTGGGTCATCTCCTGCAGATCCATTGCAACCTGTTAAATCAGGCTAGGCAGGAGGAAGGCTAGAAGGTGCCAGGGCTGGAGGTCCAAAGACAAAATTGCCATCCTCTTTTAAAAATTGCTAGAATCAGGTAGAAGTGTATATTACCCCTAAGGATTTATGAAAAGCTGAAAAGATTGCTTTGATCTCAGGTGATAAGAATAGATAACAGAGCAAAGCCAACTGAGAAGTCAGGTATCTAGTATTCAAGCCACAAGGAAGAGATTTTATTGCAAAAATGCCTAGGAGAACTTAGCCAAAGTCATAAGTAAGCAGCATTGGTTAGATCTCTCTCTTTCTCTCTATCTGTATATATGTGTATATAAATATATTTATATACATGTATATATGTATGTATTTATATGTATACTTATGAATACATAAATAGTAGTCAAAAGAAGATGAGATAATGTGAGGTAATGGGTGATTGTGGGTATAGATGCCAAGAAACTACACTCTCATCTGTAAACCAGAATGATGGTTTCCAGATAGACAAATACTCAGCATGCACTGCTCACTGATACCATCCAGGAAGGGCAATGCATTGTTCCAAGTCTTTCAGGGGCTTGGTGAACTTCACAGGGTGCCCTCCCCTCTGGACCATAGCTAGCATAACCAAGACTCCTTAACACCAACTGTTAAAAGTAATGCATAGGAACATTGCTACTCCCTATTCTTTTCCAGTATTTTCTATGCTACAAATATAGACCATCTTTGGTTTTCCATTCAAAGTCAAGTGTTCACACTGGGTTGATAACATAGCATGATGGACTACCCATGATGATGGGTAATGGAATCTACTCATGACTTAATTTGTATTATAGAACAGTGAAGTGGTATGCGCTTCCTGTATCTAGGCTGAGCAGATACTATTTAGAAAGTTCTTGAATCTATTTACTCCTATTATAGCTATATATAAACACATATGCAGGAAAAAATATAGAGTGGTATATAATCCATAACTCTTGACATAGAGGAGCTTATGATCTTGAACAAATCAAAACATCACACACATGAAATGGATAAATGACAATATAAGACAATGGGTTTCTACAAGATAAGGTAAGAAAATGACTAACTATGTAAGATATTTCTATTTTCAAGAATATTCATGTTTTGTTGTTAGAAAACGCTTTAAGATACCAATATATTTAAATGCATATATATATTTGGTACGTTTCAGCAGCATGCACTAGGAAATTACCTGCTATGGTCTTATTTTTCAATCAAGTTTTTCAGAGCTTCCTCAGTGTAGTTTCAAGGGAGACTCAGGAGTATGATCAAGCTGAGAGGCAGGAGGAAGGCTAGGCAGGTGCTAAACAGTTAACTCACTTCTGCCACACAGGAATTTCTACTGATTTCTTTTTCCTCTGAAAATAATATACCCACAGAAAACAAGGACTCCAATGGACCAAAAAATCTACTAGGACAGTCTTCTTATTTTCAAAATAAATATGATAAGGATACACAAAGGCAATATTTTTTCTAGGTTCATAGTTCATGCAATTCATGGCAGCAATGGAATTAGAACCCATACCTCCTAGACATCACAGTGCATGACTACCTTTAGACTTAGCATTTAGTAATATATTACTTCTTATTTTTCTCTAATTGTTTTCTAAGAAATTTTGTTTTCAATCTTAAACTAGTATCTTTGAAGGCAAAGCTTCTTTCTTCCCTCATAGAACCCTGGACAACATTGTTATCTGCAAGCTCAGTCAATTCTTATTAGCTAATTAATCATTTAATGTATATTTTCTTTTCATATAGGCCAATCCTCTTGCCTCGGCCTCTCAAAGTGCTAGGATTAGACTTGAGCCACTGCGTCTGGCCTATATAGGCCATTTTTAAAGAAGAAGTTAAGAACTCATTTAAAAAATAAAATATGTTTCTTTTATTTAAGAAATATTTATTAAGCACCACTTATGTGATTACAACCTTATTAGTGTGTAAGGCTTCATTCATAGGAGATACAAATACAACAGAAAACAAAAGAGAAAAAAACCTATGTTCTCAATAAATGTAAATATATCTCTTAACATTTCAGTGCAAAGAAACCGAAAATAAAAAGTAAGCAAATGCATGTTCATTTAGTTAATCACAAGAGCTATGGAAAAAGTAAAGTGAGAAAGGGTGGGGAGGGAATGATGGGGTGGAGGGAAGGTAATTTTTAAGAATGTCCAGGGCAACACCCTTGGATCCCCTCCCACTGTGAGAGCTTTCCTATCCTCTCAATAAATCCTGCTTTCTCACTAAAAAAAAAAAGTATGTCCAGAGAAAGCTCATCAAAAAGATGATTAAAATTGTGAAAGTGATAAAAGAGTGAACTATGTAAACACTGGGGAAAGGTTTTCCAAGCAGAGGGAACAGCACATGAGAAGAGGCACAAACGTGCCTGGCTTTGTGAGAGAAAAGTAAGGAGTTCAGGGTGGCTGGGGCCAATAAGTACACCGAGTGTAGGAGACACGGTCAGAGTCAGAGAGGCACACAGAGGAGCAGATTTTGCAGGACTTAAGTAGCCATTGTAAGAACTTTGGCTTATTTCTAAGTGAGATGGAAAGGAAGCCTCTGGGAAGTTAGAGCACAGCTGAGATGTGATTGGCCTTGCTTTGTCTGAACAGAATAATTCTTGAAGTGTTTAAGCACTGACAGAAAACTGAAGGCGTCAAGGAGGAAGAGCAGTGAGGAGCCTACAGTGATAATGCAGGTGCGGGTGTTGGATTGGGCATGGCAGTGTCAAGCAAGGTGGAGAGAAGTGGTTTGATGCTGTGGATATTTTGAAAGATAGTTGAGACTCACTGACAGGTTTTTCAAGAACGTCTCTGGTCTGAGCAACTGGAAAGATGGTGTTACCAATGACTGAGATGGGAGGACTATGGGAAAAGCATATTGAGGAAGGAGGACCAAAGGGTTGATTTTGGACAAGTTAAGTTTGAGATGCCTGTTAGTCATCCAACTATAGATGTCACTTTGTCATTGTGTTTTATTAGTACAATTCTGGATATCACTTATTAAACATGTCTGGATTTTTTAATGTAAGGATTGCTAGGTAAATATCTTATGACCCGAGGGAGCTCTCAAAGCAAGTTAAAACTCTGCAACCTTGTACAGTAATATTTTGGGGTTTTAATTGTCACAGTACATAACATGTCAACTTGGTTAATGTTCACAACAGAAAGTGATAGTTTGCAAATCATGAGCTACTCTTATGTTTAACCTGAAAGCTATTTTTAAGAACTTATGTGATTACAACTTAATAAACATGCTTATATTTGCATTTTATTCTGGAGTTCAGAAAATATTTCTCTTTGTTTTTAGTTGCAAGGAAGGTGGAGGGCTTATTTAACTTTTCCATTTGTAACTAATTTATAAAGCTTATTTCTGCTGCAGAAATCTTAGAATTTTATCTTTAGCAGTGTTTATCTGTATCACCTATGTATGCATACATTCATGTGATCCTTTCTGGTTCTTCAGCTTTAATCTATGCATTTCTGTGAAATTGACTTCAATGTTATTGAAGAACAAAATAAACTTTCACTTTATGTATTACTCTTATCCATTTCAGATGCTTGAATGTCAAATGAATTCCATAGTCATTTAAAAATAATTTTTGTTTTAAAAATGTGGAGTACAATTCAGGGTTAAGTATACAAATGTTCATTATGCAGGTACCCTTGTTGATGATGTGTGCTCCTCCCCCCCACTACTGCCAATCTCGCCCCCACCCCCAGCAGTTTCCCACTACTGCCAACCCCTTTCTTATAGTATTATGAAAATTGTTCAAGGTCTGCTTATGAGTGAGAACATGTGTACTCAGTTTTTTGTTTCTATGATAGATCACTCAGTATTATAGACTGAGTTCATCCAGGTTGCTGCAAAGTTCACAATTTTGTCCTTCTTTATGGCAGTGTCATATTCCATCGTGTATATGTACCACATTTTTTAAATCCAGTCCTCTTTCAATGGGCAGCACAATTGGTTCCATGTTTTTGCTATTATGAATAATGCTGCAATAAACATGCATGTGCAGGTATCCTTTTCATAGAGTGATTTGAGTTTTTCTGGATATATTTTCAGTAGGGGAATTGCAGCGTCATATGGAAACTCAATTTTTAGATCTTTTAGGAATCACCAAAGTGTTTTCCACAGAGGTTGTACTAATTTACACTCCTACCGACAACATAGAAAGGTTCCTTTTTCGCTGTATCCTCTCCAGCATCTGTTGTTTTTTGGGTTATTGATGATTGCCATCCTGACTAGAGTTAGGTGGTATCTCAGTGTGGTTTTAATTTGCATTTCTTTGGTGACTAGTGAGGTTGAGCATTTTTTTCATGTATTTGCTGGCTGCTGGTATGTCTTCTTTTGAGAGGTGTCTATTCATATCTTTTGCCTACTTGGTCATGGGGCTGTTTTTTTTTTTCTTTTTGGCACATTTGAATTCCTTGTAGATCCTAGATATCAGTCCTTTGTTATATATATAGTTGGCAAATATTTTTTCCCAGTCTGTGGGCTGTCTCCCCTCTCTCGATGGTTTCCTTGGCTTTGCAGGAGCTTGTCAGTTTGAGGAGGTCCCACTTGTCTATCTTTTATCTCTTATGGCTTGGGCAGTTGGAGTATTGATCAGGAATTGATTGCCAGTTCTAATTTCCATAAGGGTGTCTCCTGTGTTTTCTAAGATTCTTATAGTTTGAGGTTTTACATTTAGGTCTTTGATCCATTTAGAGTTGATTTTCGCATATGGTAATAGGTAGTGATCTTGTTTTTATCTTCTGTATGTGGTCCACCAGTTTTCCCAGTACTGTTTACTGAGTAGGTTCTCCTCTGTCCTGTGGTTTATGGTGGAAGCTTTGTCAAAGATGAGTTGGTTGAGAAATTGAGATTTTGCTTCTGTGATCTCTATCCTGTTCCATTGGTCTCTATGCCTGTTCT